AAGAGGCCACACATGACTTCCTGAAAGGAATCATTGGGCTAATCTAAGTCAGTGGGCATGTCTATGCATAAATAGAGCCCAGGCCCATAGCTACAGTGGGGCATCTCGGGGCTAGGCCCCCTGACTTGCTGGCAAGGCCCCCCTGACTTCCCATCCATCCCAGGTCGTCTGACCTTCTCCCCCAGATTAATTTGATTAGCCAGTGCCTCCTAAGAAATTTAAATGCCCCCTGACTTTAAAAATCCTGACTACGGGCCTGATAGAACCATTTAGAAAAACAAAATCTGATATATAGTTCTGCTTACTTAGCTGAGTGTGGACAAGAATGATTATATTTATATCTCACTCTTCCTTCTACCTCTTGCTTTTGTGAGGTTCCATGTGGTATCCCATCTGAGAATGGATTATCAAAACCACTTAGCTTAAACACTGCTTACAGTATCCTGTGTTCACAGGCTATTTATTAAGTCACGGTTTCCCCCCAGAAAATAGCCCTTTTCAGGCATTACATGTAACTACATGTACGAGGAGAACACAGAACACATAATCGTCCTGATAAGTGTAATTGCTGTTATGAGTGGAAAGGACAGAGTGTGTATTTTCGTCCTCAGTATATGTATACCAGAACGTGCTCTCTGGTACATGTCTTCTGAAGCCAGAATTAGGCTTGCCAAGTCCCCCCGGGGGGCGGGGAAAACCCCGCCCCAGAGGCCCGCTCCCCCCCGGGGGGCGGGGAAACCCCCGCCCCAGAGGCCCGCTCCCCGCCGGTGGCGGATCGGGCCCCGGGGGGAACCCCACCCCAACGTACAGGTTACCCGGAAGTGACGCGACCACGCCGGGCATGCTGGGGGCGGGGCCACGGTCATCCGAGGGAAAACTCTATGTTTTTCCCTTGGATGGTCGTGGCCCCGCCCCCAGTGTGGCCGGCGTCGTCACGTCCAGGTGACGTGCATGCAGCGCACGTGCACCAGCCGGGAATCCCCCGCTGCGGCTCAAAAAGCACTTGGCAACCCTAGCCAGAATATTGTTGCCCCTTTCAGGCAAAATGGTGATCTCTCTTATTGGGAGGATCACATATAATGCATTCTCCCCATGCACGTGGTCAAACATAATACCTGGAAAAGACTAATGTCATATTTGTTTACTGTGGTGTGGTGGATCACTTCCTTTGATGAAGCAATCTTGCTGGAAATATAGTTGCCTGCTGTTCATACTCTGCTTGAATTAACCTTTCCCTAGAACTGTTTTAGCAAGTTGGTATAAATTGGCTTTCCTCATCATATGGGAAGAAAATAAGGTCACACCACTAACTAGGAGAAAAAAAGGGGGGAAACGTGCAAGGGAGAGTAGTTTAGTTGACCTTTTACATCCCAACGGATTTCACAAAGAGTTTCTTCAGGGAATCTCAATCAGAAACTTCTCTAACTCTCACCCTGGACTAGGGTTGCCAGGTTCTTGGCTCTCACTGATGAGGGGAGGGAGCTTTCTGGGAGTGGAGGAAGGGGCAACATTGTGGGGCGCCACTCTGGTACCATAGAGTTTTGCCCAAAATACCAGAGCAGGACAGAAGTTATGTCATCACGCTGGGGACATTGCGCTGGAGCCTGGCTGTTGAGTTTGGGGCTTCCCGCACTGGCCAGCTGCCAGCAGTGAGCAGGAGCCCGCGAAATTAGGGGATTCCCCACTCCCACCTGGGGGCTGGCAACCCTACTCTGGACAAATGCTCCCAGGGTAGGAGTTAGAAAAGTTTCTGATTGAGATCCCCTGAAAAAAACTAATCATGAAATGCATTGGGATTTAAAAGGTCAAACTACTCTCCCTTGTGCCTTGTCCCCCATTTTCCCCCCTCATCATGTACTGATTTGTACACCTCACATATAAAATATGGCTGACTAACTTGCACTTGCAAAGCCTTAATTTGAATTTCTGTTACTTCAATTTCACCTCTTAAAAACTGCTTCCAAGTAGCAAGAAAAACATGTGGCAGCCCTGATCAGACAACACTGTCACTCTCTGGGAACCTCAGGAGACTGTGAGGTGTGACTCTGGCTTGTGAATCTACTCCTGTTCATTGGCATATAACACAATACCTACATCAGAAGGCACTGCCATTATTTGAACATGGGCTATCCCATAGTGGGGGTAGCAGCTGGAGATCTCCCAGAATCACAACTGATCTCCTGACCATAGAGATCATTCCCTCTGGAGAAAATGACTGCTTTGGAAGGTAGACTCTATGATATTATACCCTGCTGAAATCCCTCCCCTCCTCAAATCCTGACCCCCAAGCCCCCCCCCCCCCCCATGTCCCCGAAATTCCCACTCTGGAGCTGCCAACCCTCGTTTCCACTTCTTTGGACATTTTCAGTTGTTATGGAGGATTTGACATTAATTTCATTATGATTTGAACTGCACTCAAAATATTTAAATCAGGGTACAGCTTTAAACTTTTCATTACCAGATTATTCAAACGCACATCCCTTCACAAAGAGAAAAAGTAATGCATGTGAATGATTATGTTTTTAAAAAATGTAGCCATATTCATCATTTCATTTCTCCTCCCTTCAAGACTATAGTTCATTATTTTTCCCATGCAATGTAAAGATCAAGCATTAACTTCTTTGCAAAAGCAGAAATGGCAGTTTTCTCTAGGAAAAGGCAATTGTCTTCAATTAAACAAGAAAACCCTGGTGTTTTATTCTGGTTTCCCCTTTGTCTCATTTTTTTCAAAAGGTACCTTTCGAGAGAATGTGGAAAACTATGAAAAGGGGCAGTGTGTTTTTGTAGCATTTTAATTTTTCTTCCCTTTTAGACAGCAACAAAAAATCCCTTCATAAGCAGGCTTGCCTAAAAAGGCACATGTTTCCGAAAGTTTTCTGCTTGGGTGACTACGACTTTGTAGAAACTGAAAGGAAGTGGGGTGGGGAGAAGGAATGGTCCAGATTGTATAAGAAATGAACCTTTTCCCAATTACTTTGTGTTTGTGAAGTAAGGTAACTTTCTGTCTCTGCGAAATTCAGAATTAATAAGGTATTTGGACCCTTTCTCTTTATTGGGCCTCAAGAGCCTTATCAGATTTATTATTATTATTTCAGACTGGGCCTGAAGTTGTGAGATATAAAGCAACTCCAGGCAGAGTGGGGGGTGGGGAATGTTCCCAAGCAGATGCCTTTAAGAGACAGAAATCATGAATTTCTTGAATTGCGACCACTCTGGGGGTGGCTACAATGACTTTTCGACAGTGACAGTAACTCGGCCTTGTCTTTTCGAGCCCTTCTTTCGCCCATTCACTCCGGAAAGCTGCTTAAACGCACTTAAGCGCATTAGCATTTGGATGCTCAGGGACCATATTGACCCTCATTTGGAAGGTTTAAATGAGTGAAAGATGGAGCGATTTGTTAGGGCTTTAGAAAACCAGCTTTAGAGAGCGGCGAGTTTTCCGCTTTGGTTTGTTCGGGTGCTTGTTCTAATCTGGTGCGCTGTTTAAAAGCGACCAGACTGATTTGTGACACATGAGTCCAAAGGGCTATTTTTTGGGGCTTGACCTGATTAGCTAATTTGTGCTTTGAATTTCAATGGTTGGTATCAGAAGGGAGTGCACTTTGGGAATGGCTTGCTTGTGGATTACCTCACTGGTAACTGCATACAGACACAGATGGCAAAATGTTAATTACTTGTCAAAAGAGACAAAATGGAATCCGAGGCAAATTGTGGGGATGTGTGGAAAAAGTGATTAGCTCTGGGGTTAAGTCAAAAAACCCGAAAAACTATGGCCATCTTGAGGGCTTGGTGTGCCACCCTGTCCTTCTCTCCTCTGCCTGGTGATAGATAGATAGATAGATAGATAGATAGATAGATAGATAGATAGATAGATAGATAGATAGATAGATAGATAGATAGATATCCATGAAAAAGTCTGTTTTAAAGGACTGGCCAACATTAAAGTAGACTCAACCTTGTTCATTTGAGAGATTACTTTTTTAAAAACGGGCTTTAATTTAATTTAATTTAATTTAATCCAGATGGTAAAGATTCAAGTCTGAAAAGAATTTGTAGATTTGTATTGGTTTTTGGAAGGTGGAGGGTAAAATCATATGTTTATTTTAATATTTGTACAACCAAAAAGAAAGAAAATTTTTATTTTGTACTGTACCAAATATTAGAAATTATAGAGCAAGTCTCTCAATTTCTCCAGTGCCTATCTAGTAAAGATAACTCCCTAGATATTCTCTCTGTTTTAAATTCCTAGGGGGGAAATATGATGCATTTGGGTCACAGGCCAAATATTCTCCATACCTGTCACAAGGAGGTCAGATTAAGAAACTCCAATGTGAAAATCCAAAACACAAAGTCAGGTGAAATCTGAGAACCTCTTCAGAAGTTATGTAGTAGTTTGGAGAAGAAGATGCACATGACTTCTTTTTGCAATTCCAGTTCCACATATGAAGCAGGAATTCATGTATCTCTCTCCAGGGAGACGCATAAGATGTACCTATTTTGAAGCCATGGGTGCTGCTGCAGGAAGAGTGCACAACACTCTCAACTGAGTCTTTGTTCCTGAAGTATAAAAAGAGAGAATGAGCCTTCCAGTCCTACCACCCGGTCAGCTTCCAGGATCAAAGCAAAGCAGTGAGAGGAAACTCACTTGTATAACTGAAAAACAGCATGGTATCAAAATGTACAACATTCCCCTCCCCCAACCACCCTGAATTAAGCTTCTAAGTTAATTTTTAGGAAAAGAAAAATATAACTAAATTGAAGTTGCAGGAACAAACTGATTTTACACTACCCATAAATGTGTTCTGACTTCAATTCCAGTCTGCAGTCTGAGTTTGCCCAAGGCTAAAGGAATTTTTTTTTTAATCCTTTTTTTTTTTTTTAAGAGGGAATTGAAATTAGGCAACTATAACTTTGGTTTTAGTATCTCTTTAAAATATATTTTAAAGAACTGTTTTTTCTTCTTTTGTTCCCTCTGTGTGTATGCTTGTTTTTTTAATCAGACCCTTTGTGCGAAGGCTACAATGCAGACTGTCCGGGCCGCTGATACTAACGAAGTAGTCAAACTAATATTTCGTGAATCTGATAATGACCGAAAGGTACGTAACCAGCTGCAATCTGTGTCATGAACCTTACCATAAATGGAGATATTTTTTTCTGCCTTTTAGATTCCGGGGGGGGGGGAGTTCATTTCAGTGGAATAACGCTCAGGGATCCTCCCCCTGTTCAAATAACCCCAGATTCTCAATCTGCAGTACTGATAATTTGTTGAACACACAACCGTCACCCCTTGGGAAGTCTTCACCGTTCACTCTGAGCATAGGCTTGCCAAGTCCCCCCGGGGGGCAGGGAAACCCCCGCCCCAGAGGCCCGTTCCCCGCCACCGGTGGATTGGGCCCCGGGGGGAGCCCCACCCCGATGTGCGCATCACCCAGAAGTGACGCAACCACGCCGGGCACACTGGGGGCGGGGCCACGGTCATCCTAGGGAAAACTCTATGGTTTTCCTTCCGATGGTCGTGGCCCCACCCCCAGCGTGCTCAAAGTTGTCACGTCACTTCCAGATGGCGTGCGTGCGGTTTGCGCTCCAGCTGCAAGCCGGGAGTCCCCTGCTGCGGCACAACGCTGGACTTGGCAACCCTATCTGAGCATGCGGAGTTGCCCCACCACGGTGCATGCGGAAGTCAACTTAGATCTGGAAGCCTGCTGAGTCCCAGGAATTGATGAATCTGGACACCACAGCGTAAAACCTCAATGGGCAATTATCCACTAGAGAGCACACACAGCTTGTGCTTTTCAAATTAATCTGCTGAGTGCAAATAACAGAAGAGAGGGTTCCAGATTTACCTCATGAAGGAAGTCTGCCTATAATAGAAGAATGTGAGAAATTTATATCTTTCTGTTTCAGGGAGCGGCTAGAAAGGTTCTCTAATGGCTGCCACCACCCACCCTACCCTGTTATACACTCCTTTCCCAGTAGGTTTCCCCTTATAAGTAACCTAATGAGGCATGAATACCCTGTCAGAGTAACAAACTATTTTTATTAAAGAGATTTAACAACAACTATAATTCAATAACTTGGACGAAAAATAAACACATCAAAGGTAGGTAAACCAACAAAATAAGAAATCCTAAAACATCTGACTATACTGTCCTAGCCTTCTCTGGATATTTGCCTCAAACTGACTCACCCCTTTTGGATGAGGGATCCCTCCTTCTGAAGCAGACTCACCAGCTCTGCTTCCTGGGAGTGAACCACATCCCACTTTGGGCAAGGCCTTTTATTACTTCTTCCCAAGCACCACCCCCTACTCCTCTGCTGGTGTAAGTTTTCCCTCCAAATCCCCTATTAGCCAGTCACAGGGCCCAAAGGGTGACCTAGGAAATGCAGGCCCTGTAGTCACTCTAATACAAGCTTCCTTGGAGCCACTAGGCCTCCCTATAGCCTGCAGGCTGCACTCCTGTAGGCCTAGGATCATGACACCTTCACTGATGTGGGTTTTAAGAGGTTGAACCTTCCCACCCTGTCTGCTCTTTGGAATGTGGAGCCAAGGGACTGGCCACTGACAAATTTATTTATTCAAAATATTTATATGCAACCTTATTTCTTTGGACTCCAGGTGGCTAAAATAGTTACTATACATTGTAAGGATGCAAAGAATAAAAGTCTATTAATAGATAAAAACAGATAAAAACAAGCTTTACCCCCAAGATTTGGTCTCTGAGAGGTGCACCACAATCCAGACATCCAGATATAAGGAATGGGTTTCTTTTGTAACTGTGGAATTATTTTGTGGCTATTATTTGTGCAGTTCAGTTGGAATGAGAACTGTGTGAACTGAAAGAATTACATATTCATAATTATTTTCCTTTAAATTAGCATCACCTTTCAGTAATTAACTGCATAGATAGTAAGGATGCAAAGACAAGGGGGTGCATGGAAAGTACATGATTGCAAAGTAGTTTGAGGGTGGGGAAAATAAGCTGGAAAGGAAGATCTGGGAGCTCAGTGCAGGTTTCTGGGCTAGAAAGTCAACATGGATAAAAACATGGTCATCCGACGTCTTTCAGATCTGCTCAGAACACAAGCGGAGAAATTAGTGCTCACACCCTTTAGACAAAGAGTGCCCAGGGGGTACCCATTCTGTCCATCTGGGTTCCCCCTGGAGTGGATGCTACTCCTAAGCCCTACTTGGCACACACTGAGTTGGTAAACCTGTGGCTTCAGACTGCAGATGGATGTCCCCATATAGAAAATGAGATATCAGGGAGAAGAGCTGTAACCTCACCTAGGAATAGGTCTGAGTGCTTCCAATATACTGAGAACTGATGCAGTGGGAATGAAGTCAATGTTAAGTTTCCACACAAGCCTGATCTTCTCAGATCTCGGAAGCTAAGCTGGGCCGACCCTGGCAAGTATTTGGATGGGAGACCGTCAAAGAATACCAGGGCCAGGAGGCAGAGGCAGGCTATCAAGCAACTTCTCTGACTGTCCTCCGTGTCCCAGTAGGAGTCACCAGAGGTCACCATGACATCCAGGTATGGGCGCGCACACATACATATGTGCACACAAATACAAAAAAAAAATGTAAATAAATGCTTGTATTCTTCCTGTGTACATGCCATTTCAATGTCACCTCCCCTTATTACTGAAGCAAACTATGTACTGTCTAAGTAGGCACCTGTAAGCAAGTTTAATGGGGGGGAACAGATTTACCTAACATTCCTACAGTGCAGGTTTATACTTTTGCCCACGGATAAGTAAACTCGCATTTAGAGGAAGAGTAATGTAAGATCTGGAGCTGCAGTGGCTCAAGTGGTTAAGACGCTGAACTGCAGGCTGTGGAAGGTTGGTAGTTCAGCAGTTTGAGACCTGAGTGTTCCACATGATGGAGTGAGCTCCCGTCTCTAGTTCCAGCTCCTGCCAACCTAGCAGTTCGAAAGCAAGAAATTGTAAGTAGATAAATAGGTACCACTTCAGTGGGAAGGTAACAGCGTTCCGTGCGCTTTGGTGTTTAGTCATGCTGGCCACATGACCACGGAAATGTCTTCGGACAGCGCTGGCTCTTCGGCTTTGAAACGGAGATGAGCACCGCAACCCTAGAGTCGGATTCGACTGGCTTTCAAGCAAGGGAACCTTTACCTTTTTAATGTAAGATGGAGCCCTAAGCACCCAAAAATGGTGTTGACATAGGGCTCATAAAATCAAAAGAACCCCTGTGTTTTTTTTTAAAAAAAAACCCCAAACAAACAGAGAGATCTAGAAATGCAAGTTGCAAAGACTAACTTGTAATGACCTTGTGAAAGAAGTGTACAACCCAGAGAATGTTTATTTCTTTTTGAGGGTTTTTGTTTGTTTGTTCGCTTGTTTGCTGTTTTTAAACTCTGCTTCATTTTTCTAGGTTATGTTACAGCTAGAAAAGAAGCTCTTTGACTATTTTAATCAAGATGTTTTTAGAGATAATAATGGCACTGCGGTAAGTTTTTTGTTGTAATACTTCATTTTACAGATGTAATTTTGGAGTCTTCGAAATCTGTGTGACTGGAAAGAGCTGGCCTGCTGACTGTTCTCAGCATGGCAAACCCATGCCTTTATTTTACTTGTTTATAAATGTTTAAGTTTCTAAAGTGCCTTCCAGCCACAGAATAGGCTCACAGAGTGATGCACAATAATTTAAACTACAAATCAAAAGAAAATGTATCTATTTTGAATATGCAAGCTTCTTATTGTCATTAAACCGGTGAAAACCCCACATTTAAAAAATGCTCAAAGCTGAAAGCAGCAAAGAACAACAAAGAACAAAGCCACTTCCTCCTGAAGCCACTCTCCCTGTTTCTTCAAGTTAGCTCAAGATTTGATGCCTTGTGGCCACTTTACATGGTACAAAATCCATGTGTCCCCTATGTGGACTTTCAACAGACATGTTTTGGGAGTTTTCCATTGGGAATTTTATTTTGAATCACATGTTGGCCCTGTTCAGAAGGAGACCACAGGGTGTGAAGATAAGGGACTAAAGTCTTCCTCCTGTACCATTTTCCCAACGTGAAATGGCCCCAGGGAGCCACTATTTGCCTATTGGGGGAACTTACATAAACTGATGGCTACATGGAAGTTTCCCTGACAGGGCAGGTACTAGCTCCCCCGATCTCTTTCAGCTGCGGAAACTAGCATGGGGAAAAGGCTTAAGCATCTTTTCCTCACATACCATGGTCCTGATCTGAATTGGACCCATGTGCACATGGGAATAAAGTTCCCAGCATGGAATTACAAGTGCATATGTCTCATCCAAAATCCTCATGGTGGCTATGTATCTGCCATATGAACTTCGTAAATGTGTGAAACTTCCTTCAGTGAACGATTGTGAATCAGGATTGATACACTTATATGCTCCAGTACATAATACACAAGTACAAAACTAACCTGCCTCTTGTAATGTTTGGCCACATGCACAGTTCCATCCTTAGTTCTTAAAATGTCTGATCCTTTTCAGGACACAGCTGAGTATTTTAAAGGGCCAGTTGCCAAACTTTAGACATGCTTACCCCTCAGGCTTGAGATAAGGTTCATGAGGTAAACTGAGAAATGGCTCTGAGACCTTGGATTTCTGTTACGCATTAGTTTCTTTTTCTCTTGAAGAATGATTTGTCTGTACAACATGAGGAAGTTGATGAAACGTCCATCCAAATGATCAGGCACTCAGAATAGCCTGACAGCTTCAAACCATAATGTCATTTCAGCTCAGAGTGCCTTTTTGGATCACACTCACACATCAACCCTGCTTTGTGCTAGAACAGCCTTCTGAAACTTGACTTTCAAAACATGAACACCTTGCAGTGTACAGATGTATTTTATATGTATTTTCAAATGCAACTTCATGCAACACAGAAAGCAATCCATATAAAATAGGTGATGTGGGAAATGTTGGTGTGTTTTCTACCTCAAACAAAATATCAATTCGTAACAGTTGCATTTTTTACCTTTTTTTATTTATTTATTTATTTAATTTTATTTATACCCCGCCCTCCCCGCACGCAGGCTCAGGGCGGCTGAGCACCTTATAGCATCTCAGTTTGGAAACAATATGTGGTTCACATTTCAGTTCTTTTTTACCTGTTCTTATGGGACCAACAAACAATTTCAGTATTTTCTTTATACTAAAAGGTTTTTTACATTTTGCTCAACGTTAGCCGAGATTTAAACCCCGTTTGAATTTAAGTTCTCAGTTATCTTTTTTCCCCTATTTTGCATCCATTGTTTTGGACGGAAAAAGCTGATAATGCTACAAATGGATTCAAACATTTCATTCTAAATTACATTAAGATGGGATCACTGAGTCTCACAAATGGAAGTTCAGGGTTCATTTGAAGCTATTTTATGGGTAGAGTAAAAAGAATATTGAAGGTAGAATCACTATGGCTACATTTACAGAAGTAATAGATCAGCTCTTCATTGCATGAAACTTCAGGTGGAATGCAAGTTTTCTGCAAAATTTCTGCAAAATTTTGACAGATCCTGAAGTTATTCTTCATACTTTTTCCTATTTGATTGAATCATACAAGGAAAGCAGTGGGTGTTTTGTTTTTTTCTTTTTGTTTTTTTGTTCTGCATTTCAGCATGAAGCCTTACAGTGCAATCGTAAATAAATGACCTTGGAAGGCTACAGCTCTGTTTAGGATTGCATTGTTAGTAATCATAGTTTGATCCCACATGAAAAATAATTATTATCAGAAATAACAGGAGAACCTACCATGCCCTGGATAGTCCAGGCAAGCCCGATCTCATCAGCTCTCAGAAGCCAAGCAGGGCCAACCTGGATGGGAGAATGCCAGGGCCAGGAGGTCAGAGGGAGGCTATCAAGCCACTTCTCTGAATGCCCCAGTAAGAGTTTCCAGAGGTCGCCATGACTTCCAGGCATGCACACACAGGCACACACATACACAAAAATGCAGAAAAAGAAAAAGATATAACCAGAGAACCTGATCTCAGTGATATCTTGGAAAAACACAAAAAAGCTTTGCTATGCTTACAAATTGGTCTTGTAATGCTCATTGCCCCCACCTTCATCTGGTATAAATTAGCGGTGCTCCATTGTAAGCCACAAGCCTCAATAGTATTGATGTTTAGAGCAGTAAATCTGACTAATAAAGAGATGTACTGCACAAACTAATTCCTTAGAAAATCAGGTATTGGTAGAAGCATGTATTTATTGCGGTTTTTTATCAACATGAAGACAAGGACACCTGTTATCACTTAGGAATGAAATTCTCCTTGTCTGTTTCAATGACTTCATAAAGTGTGAAAATGATCATGCTGTAGGAGGTTTGTGTTACTTCTTCGTCTCCAGTTGCGCAACGATAAGGGAAGAGGCTTTGTTTTTACATCAGAGCCACATCATGCTTTGAGGTTATTTTTCATGCACATATGATGCACACAGTTACTTTCTGAAGCAGCTACACAAGATAGCTACACAAGATAATGGTGAAAAAAGTACAGGGAGGAGGTTTGTTGCTCCTTGCTGGGCCAGTGCCATCCCTCCAATTCACTTCAGAAGAGTTTGACTAAAAGTAGGCATAATAGGCTGTTTATTGGCTTGAATCTAACCAGCCATCAGTGGAAGGTGCTGGTGGATGCAGATTTACCTTTCCTCCCAGTTATCAACCTCCATGAAATTGATTCCTGAAGTCATGCCATGCAGGTCAGGGGATTGCAGTGAAGCTGGGAAAGGGAATAAAATCACCCTTCTTACATCAGTGAAGCTACTCTTGCAGATAAGGGATGCAAGAAATATTTTACCCCTTTTCTCTTCCTCAGTGCCATCCCTGACATGCATGTCTTTTTTTCCTGCTCTGGTTCTGTGACTCTAGGGGGTACCAGCGGTCAAAGAGGACTTCTGAGGGGAGGGAAAATCCATGCTTGTTCAGCTGATGGTTAGATCCAGACCATTATCACTAGGCACAGCATATTCCATTCCTCACCGCTTACAAACCATGGTTGTAGAACCATTCATGGATAAAGGACAAAATCTCAACACAGGGAAACTTGGAGTCCCTCCATCCAATATGGAGGAACTCCTATTCCTTCAGCAAGAAGTTCAACTTATCCTTTCATGATCATATAGTACTTTGGCATGCAGGGATCTGTTTATATAGCACAATAATCACAGAATGATAGGCTTGCAGGGAACTGAAGCAGCATTCTGGCAACTGAGTTTCTACTAAATGAGGTGCTGCTGTTAATGTCTTCAAACAGTAGGACCGTACTGCCTGTCTGGAATTCACATATTAGGACACAATCCATCCCAGTATATTTGAGGACATGCATAATCACTAGTGCAGTGCAGTGTGAGTTCATAGGAACTTTTGAATCTGGAGTTTATACTCTTTGCTAAATATATGAGTAAACAGGGCTATTTTGGGGCAGGAACGCACAGGAACGGAGTTCCGGCTGCCTCCCACGTTGGCCACGCCCATCAGGAACTCATTAGCATAATAGACCACACCCAACAGCAGAAACTCATTAGGATTGGCTACATTAGGGGTGTGTGGCCTAACATGCAAAGGAGTTCCTGCTACAAAAAAAGGCCCTGAGTTTTGACAACAAACATGGTAAACAGAATAACAAGCAAAAGGTGGGTGTGGCTGGATAACCACACTTCTGGTAACATGGGGGCATGGCCTAATGTGCTAATGAGATGTGCTGTCAGGGGTGTGGCCCAATATGCTAATGAGTTCCTGCTGTTGGGTGTGGCCTATTATGCTAGTGAGTTCCTCCTGGGCTTTTTCTACAAAAAGAGCCCTGTGAGTAAACAAAAGGAAACACTGTTGGCTATCCCCATATATACATGCTGGTGTGACCTTGGATCAGTCACAAGTTATTTCAGAGCTGTTCTCTCAAGAGCAGTTCTCTCAAGAGCTCTCTCAGCCCCATCTACCTCACCGAGTGTCTGTTGTGGGGAGGGGAAGGTAAAGGAGATTGTAAGCCACTCCTTCGGGTAGTGAAGGGCGGTGTATAAATCCAATCTCCTCCTCCTCCTTTTCTTCTTCTTCTTCTTTGTATAGAGAGGGTGGGGGATTCAGAGGCATTATGTAAAAGCTATACTTTAGCTCAGTTCTTAACACAGTGCTCTCACACTAGGAGTACTAGCATCCATACATAAACAAGAAAAATATCATCCTTTTCTGATGTAGCATATGGTATATTTCTGTTTTTTTAAGTTACTTGAAAAATTATAATTGTATTTGTGCAGCATTTCTGTACATTTTTTTAAGGCAGAAGGTAATCATTGGTGTTTATGGCAACCCTTGGCATGCTGGCAGCATTTCAAGCATCAATTGGGTTAATTCCCCATGCATGCCTCTTCACATGTTTGCTTGCAAAGACGCATACAGACAGGCCACTTTAGAACATTATATTTCAAAATCTGTTGCCATTTCATTCACGCACTGGGAAGCAGGAAATCTTCCAGATCAAGAAGGG